AGTAGAGAGGGAGTGTCATAAATCACCTTATTACCAGTGATAATGCAGAAGGAGCAAGGAGTCACACACAGAAGGATAACATATGAAGTGTAAGATATCCTCAACAAAAGATAAAGCAACGCCAGTAGGACCAGAGTTCATAGCAGAGGCACCCACCCCAGGGACTGAGGATCTTGCTCACAGAAGAGGCTATGAAAAGAATGGCCCTGAAAAAATAAAAGTGCTTAACAAAGAGGAGAGTGTTTAAATTGGTCAGAAATGTGACACCTGAGACATAAGACAGCACTAAACTTGGAACAAAAACATCTGGGTTTGTTGCTGTTTCTCCTACTAATCATCTACACAACAGAGGTGATTATCTTTGACCTCTCCTCTGACAGAGTTGTCAGGAAGGGAAAAGGAACTCGATGAGAAAGCACACTGAATGCTAAGTAGCACTACCTAGAACCCAGAGGGAAGCCACTCTTACAGAACTAAGTCTGACAACACGAACATCTACCATCAAGCTTTCTCAGAGCATGTTTTATTTCTGATTTGCAGAGAACAATTCTTACATTAATGTTTTCTTTCTTCCCTGAGAATAGATGAAAATAACCAAAGACTAGAAAAAAGTATTAGGTGAGAAGATTAATATTCTGAAACAAAGACTACCAAACAGCAGAATGGCTTTCTAAAAGATCCAGAAAATCACCTTCCCAGACCCCATTTCTTAGATTGTAAAGAATAGACAGTTAACTTTTCAAAGCTTCTTTCCTACCCGATTGTCATGACGACGATGACATAAGCCTGTCACTCATGTGGCAGGGTTGGGGGAGTAACGTTGTTGACTGTACCTTGGACTTTCTCTGAGGGCCTCCAGGCTTCCGTTCTGCCTTGCCAGGTGCATGTAAGTCACCATAGCTTGCAATGTACTGAATGAGATTCATCAAAGCAGCACAGGAGTCTGAGCAGGTTCTGATGTGGACAACATCACTCGAACAGTGCAACTCAAAGCGGGGCTCAGTCTAGACAAGACATGGAAGAAAAGGACAAAATGTCTTCCAAACAAGAGATACAACTTCCTTTTGGGCCACACTTACTTTAAATATGTGAACATCTGTCATAAGAAAAATGTACTTGTATTAACCTAATCTTGATTTTTAAATATTTTATCTATTTTTGACCAAAATTAGGTAAGTGGAAAAGTAATTTTAGAGTACAGTATAATTTTTTATCTCTCAAAAAATCAGTACTTCATAAAAATTTCCATATCTTACGAACTTACTTGCTCTCTGTCAGAATCAGACTTCACCGCAGTTATGGTTAATTCTAAAAGCCCCATATCCATCACACGAACATAATCTAAAAATTTTTAAAGAAATAAAATGTCTGAGTAGAGCTTTCAAAAAATGCTTATCCAACATACACCAAAAATTGAACATTTCTTTAAAATTCATTGCAAATAATACTATAAATATTGCAATGTGACAAATATAGTTTTTCATCCTACAAATTCACAATTTTCATCCTGCAATTCACTTTAATTTAGTGAGAAACTATCTTATATTAAATAATTGGAGTATATATAATTTTAATGTACATGCTAATCTTTTAAGAACGTTATACTATCAAGCTAAAAAACCAATAACTGAAAAAATGAATGTATACACCATATGATCACTATATGTGTAAAGATCCTTTAATAAGATCCTTAGTTTACTAGCATTACTCCAGAGTTAAAATGCTTTAATATAATCACACACAAAACAAAGAAGCTTAAATCTATTCCAGATAGTTTTATTTAACTCTTACCTCTACTCAAATTTACAGTGACAGTGTTACATTTGTCAGACAGATGTAAAGCAGCCTCATCCATGATTATTCTGAGAAAAAAAGATAAAACCAATATTTGAAAAACTAAGCTTTGAATCTATCTCAGAATTACTCTAGACGTAACTGTACCATTCTTTCTAATATAACATATCAAAATTACATACAATTTCTAATGTTACCTAACTTTTTTAAAACTCACTGTTGATAAGTTCTAGAAATATTTATGTGGTATAAAAAAATTAATCATTTGCTCAAATTCTAAATTTTTAGTGTTTTTTTTTAATAGATGCTCAAATTCACAAAGTAACAAAGATAAAGTATATCAAGTATTGAGAAGTTTATCCCATATTCTAAAAGCAAACTAAAACTCCCAAAGATTAATTTCTTCCCTAAAAATAAAATACAATAATGAAAAGAGTAGATAGATAGGGCAGGTCACTTGAGAAAGAAAATTTGAGTAAGTTAGACAAAAAGATATGACTACTTGTAGAATGCTGATTTTACAAAGGAACGATGAAATGTATCTACCAGCTAACATGTTCTGAACAGCCAGGTTCAGTATACAATGAAGTTCACACAGGTACCTGAGAGTAGAAGACGACTTATCCAGTGCAACACTACTAGAAATGCTGAATGTTTCAACTGTAAGAAGAGATCGGATTGGCAAATAAAGGGGCCTAGTATCAAAAAGAAATAATAGAATGTTAATTTAATGCAACAACAGAAAATTTCTTTAAAAAATATTTTGAGCTAGGTGCAGTGGTGCACACCTACAATCCCAGCAACTGGGGAAGCAGAGGTAGGAGGGTCGCAAGTTCTAAGCCATCCTCTGCAACTTAGAAAAGCCCTATCTAAAACAAAAAATAAAAAGGGTTGAGTGTATATATCTCAGTGGTAAAGCTCCCCTGGGTTCAATCCCTAGTACCAACAACAACAAAAAATGAACCTTAATTCAATAAATTATGTATTTTTCAAAACTTAATACACATTTTAAATTAAATTTTATTCTGTTCCATTTGTAAATTTACCTGTAATCAAGTGCACAGCTCCAAAGGTGAACATGAAAAGTTGTAAATGAAGTTGGAGGATTATACCCCAAAACAGGTTCATCAGCAATATTCAAGAAGTATAAAATCTATAATCACAAAAGTATAAAATACCCTGCTTTAGAAGATAAAAAGGTTTCGATATAATATACTTAATGGATGTAAAACCAAAGTATCTCACAGAAAAAGCATTTACAATGAAATTGATAATGCTAAAGAAAAAAAATCATTTTGAAGGAATTAATTTCATAAACTACTTGTATATGTGCAAGCATACACACAAGTAATTATGAAAGATGATAGATGTGTTAATTTGACCATATTAAGCACTTCAAAATATACACATGTACATAAATATGTGCATATATAAAATGTAAATGAATTTTATAGAATTGACATTTTTTAATTATGTAAATGAACTTCACATTTAAGCTTTGGTCCCTTCCCTAAGATAATCTCATTAAGTATGCGCTAATATTCCAGAAATCCAAACTCCAAAACACTTCTGGTTCCAGGAATTTCAGATAAGGGATTTACATGGATTTTTGTTGTTAAGTTATAGAAGTGATAGATTGAAATATATCTATCTATACAGAGAAAGAATAGAGAGACAGAGATAGATATCACTCTATAAAAACACACACAAACAAAACACATGCTTTTCATCTTAAATATATAGAACTAAAAATATTTTTAAAGTACTTGAAAAATCAGAATTTGAAATGAAAAGTCCCATCCAACATCTATACTGCTACAGAAAACTCAGAAAATCACATCTTATGAAATTAACAACAAAGTATGAATATAATTTCACATTATTTTTCTTTTAAACAATTCTTGAAAAAATAAAGTTTGCTACAGACCACTTAAAAACTCTTATTTCCTAAATAACCCACTGTGGTGGTGGTGGTGTGTGTGGGGGGGTTCTGTACAACTCATTGTTGAAGGAGGATCTCTTTCTTTAATTAGTTATCTCTAGCTCAGTCTAAAAATTGGGCCCTTTCACCAAATTCCTCCTGCCTCAGCTCCTGAGTAGCTGAGCTTACAGGCATGCAGCACCAGGCCCAGCTGATGATGTCCCATTTCATAATGTCTGCTTCATGATAACTACTGAGCTGCACGATTCTCTCTTGTGAACGTTTCCATATGTGCAGTATATGTCATATAAATGTTAAAATAAACTGATGCACAATAGTTCTCTTACCTGCTCATGCCAGCTAAGCCCAGAAGGAAGCATTCTGTGCTGCAGAGTGGCTCCTTTTAGTCCTACAGCAATGAGAAATTCCTATACAGAACAATACAAAGAATCACATGTACTGCTTATAGAATCCTATTATAGTTCAAAAATTTTTCCAAGAAAATAAATGTGTTGCCTTTTACATAATCATTCTTTTTGGTACAAAAGCAGAAAACGCACACCTTTGTATTAGACTCTGATTTATCAGATAATATTTTAACTGCAACCGAGAGCATATTCAAATTGTCTCCTCCAACACCATCTGAAGCAGTTCTACTGAGACCATCTTCTTCAGAAGAGTAAATAGTAGGCTCCAACCAATGAGGGCGCGTTGAACAGGGAAGTCGTGTTTCTGTAGGAAGAACTGCTCCATCTACTACGCCTAGATCCCCATTGAAATGAAAACATTAAGAAAACAATTAAAAATTAATTTTTTTCTATAACTATTTTGACTCTCATAACAAAATCCATGTATAGCCAAATATCCCTTTTCTAAAATGCCTGGAACCAAAAAAGTGTTTTGGAGTTCAGAATTTTTTGGATTTTGGAATATCTGCATATACCTAATGAGATTATCTTGGGGAGAGGATCAAAGCCTGAACGTGAAATTCATTTACAACCTCAAACAAATAGCCTGAAAATAATTTTATACATTTTTGGTCTGCATGCATTTTGACTGTGATCCACCATGAGTTCAGGGTATAATTTGCCACTGTGGTATCAGATGAGCACTAAAACAGCTTCAGACTTTGGAGCATTTCAAATTTAGAGTTTTCAGATTAGAAATGCTCAACCTACATTTCCACTGAATGTAACACAATCCTGGTAGCACAACAACCACAAAACAGCTTGGCATTAATAATCCACTGCTCTTTATTTATATTGTTATGTCTGACAGTGCACAACTACAAATATTTTAAAAAATAAACAAATCTAGATTCAAAAATGCTAAGAAAATATAAATAGGAAAATCTCATAAACATCAAAAATATGCAAGTAGCTCATGTCTATTCACAGGACACTGCTCGAAAAGTGGTTAAGTATTTTTATCTGAAACCAAAAGGAAATAAAGAATATAAAGTCCTATCAACTGCTATACAGACAAATAAGATGTGATATACTCATATAATGGAATATTACTCAGCAATAAAAAGGAATGAAGAAGTGATATGACCTAGATAACCCTTGAAAACATCATGTCAAATGAAAAAAGACTACATATTTTACTCTTCTGTTCACAAAAAAACTCTCAGAATATGCAAATCTATGGAAAGAGAGAGAATAGATTAATGGTTGTTTGGGGGCAGTAAAAGTGAGGGTCTTAACTAAAGTATATCGATTTTTTTTTTTTTTTTGGTACTAAGGATTGAAGCAGGAGTGTTTTACCACTGAATTACACCTCCAGCCCTTTTTATTTTGAAACAAGGTCTCCCTATGTTGCTAAAATTGGCCTCCAACTTGTGTTCCCTTGTGGCTCAGCCCTCCGAGTCACTGGGATTACAGGCATGTGCCACCACACCCAGCTGGCATTTCTATTTAGGGTGATGAAAATGTTCCAAAAACTTAAGTCTGGTGATTGACTGCCCAACTCTGTGAGAAACTAAAAATCACTGATATAAGCACTTTAATTAATTATAACTTAATAAGACTTTTTTAAAAAAACCTTCTAATTTATAATAAGTATTACTTTAACAGTGGAATCTGAATTCCACACAGAAAATAATTTCTAATAGCAAAGTTCTATTCCCAATTGATTTTCTTTTAAATGAAAAATTCAAACATGTTCAAACAGAAATGAACAAAACACACAATTGTCCTACCTTTGTGGTACAGACTGAAACTGCTAGAATGAAGGCAAATGTAGTGCTTGTCATCAAAACCTTCATATTTTGTTACACAAAATAATGATCCATTATTGAACTCTAACCAAAATTCACCATGCTGGTTTTCCAGTAGGTCTCCATTATCTTGCTAATAAAAAGATCACAAAAGCACAGAAGTTATTATTTTATTTCAGTGCTGAAGAGCAGACCCACGACCTCACACATGCTAGGCACGTGCTCACCACTGGAGCTACATTCCCCACCCCTAAAAGTCATTATTTATATGTGGAAAAGTCAGAATGTCCCTCAGGATACTCTTTCTTAATTCAGCTCAGGAAAATCTCCCACACTGTAGTAAAGTAATCTAATTCTTGAACCATTAAGTGTGGTGGTATTAACACCTGAATGATTTAAATACTCCTAGGTACAACCTCTTCTGCCAAATAAATCTCTGTACTTCACCCTTCTTTAAAACAGATCAGTTACCACTCTTGGGAGCAGAATTAGTCAAAGTTTGGTCAGCAATGAAAGCTAAATTTCAACCCAAAAGGTACTGTCCCCATGGTATGCCTCAGAACACTGGACTCCTCAGGCACTGAAGCCACTTCAACCCATCTGAATCACTGGGTATATATCATGTTAGATTTCTTTAAAATAAGACACATTTGAAAAAACACTTTGTATTTATAAACCATACCTTTACATCTGTGAACACTGCCATTAATCCATGATTAATATTCAGAAGAACTGAGAGAAAACTCTGAGAATTCTTGTTCTGAGAGTCTAATTTTTTTTTCCTACGAGAACGATAGTTGGGATCAACAGTAGAAAAATACTGCAAAGTCTCTTCTTCAGATCCACTTTCTTCATCTATGAGGGGGAAAAAATACCGTTACATGGTTCTAAATAAAATAAAAATAGAAACTTTTCACAGGAAGATTTTGTATTTATAACCTGTTTATTTTTTACAAAAAATATAGAATTGAAATAAAATAGTATCTTCTATGTTTTTCTCTTTAACTCTGAACTTCAATGTGTATACTATTCCTCTAAAGAAAATACATTCAAGTGATCATAATATTCAATATATAGATCAGAAATAGGGAAATATTCTTATAAATTACTAAAGAAATTATAATTTAGTACTAATATAAACACAAAGAAACATTTTTAGATCCACAATCTAAAAACTACTATTTTGTTAATTATAAACTAAGTATTTTAATTCAGAACAAATTTAAAATATATTACCATAGTGAACTGTAGATTTAAATGGACTAAAACTATCTTTGTTGAAGGTGTTAATCAGTTGACTGGCTACTGAAAGCCCAATACCATAGGAAATATTTTCAAATGTCTCCACTGGTGAAGGAGCTGTGGGCTCCCACAGTAGCAAGTCATTAAAGATCCTATAAAGACAAAAGTTGAAAAATAAATATATAACTCCTAATTTAACAGAAGACAAACTAAAGAATATTCCTTTAAGATATATATCACATGATCAATAATTTTTAAAATGGTGAAATGGAAATTTGATCCTATGAAATAATTTTTTAAACATTTATGTTCGATGGGAAAACAACTGCTATGGCTACCATGCTGGACAGTGAGAAAGGAATCTACACAGTAGATACCTAATTAGCTAGGTGCCTAGCTTTACCTGTGTTATATACTCAAATTACAAACTCATACATTTAAATGTACTTTAAAGATGAAAGCTAATTAAAAATAAAAGCCCACAAAGAACAAAACAAAAACAGCTTCCACATGAGAGCACTTTGTAAACTACCCACTCGTGCAGTCTCATTTGATCCCACCTATCCTGGGAAGCAGCCAGGGAGAACTGCTATTCTTACTTCACAACTGAGGAAATTGTCTCACCAGGGTATGTGACCTGCAAAGTCACACAGCCACTTAGTGGAAGAACTGGAACGAGGGTCAAGATTTCTTCCAACTCCCAGTATGTGTGTGTGTGTGTGTGTGTATGTATGTATGTATGTATGTATGTGTGTGTGTGTGTACATAACTTCACTAGAAAGAATATATGAGATGAAGACCACAAGTATCAGGGAGGAGAGGAAAATATTACTGGCTAGCCAGAAGAGCCCAACCAAATACTGACCCATGGGGTCACAGCTGAGCTACCCTCGTATCCTATCTTTCCAAAAAAATACTGGTCACTACTCAGATGCCCTCTGTCCTAGACTCTACCCCTCACTCTCTAAGCTTTCAAGAAAACTCAAACTTTACAAAGTTCTCCAAGAAGTCTATGTGAGATTTGGACCTAGAGCACAACCTCCATGCATACCTATTTCAATCCCAACCTTTCACGCTCTCCTTTTCCCTACCCTAGACTGCTAGCCTGCCCTGCTAGAGGGACTTGCATCTCTCCCTGTGCCTAGCACAGTGGCATCATGCGCAGGCAGCAACAACTGAGGAGGAAAGGACAACTAGACAGCTCAAGTGGAAGGACTGCCAAAGCACAGACTCATCGTAAAGCAAGGTGCCAAGTGATGAGGTGGCCCTGCCCTTCCAGTGAGAAGGCTCTTCCCAGGCCAATGGCTGAGCTTGTGGAGCCCTAGAAGTATAAAGCAGGACTGAGCACTGTGACTCTTTCCCCACCTGAAAAACCTGAAGCATCACTGTTAAAGATACCAGGTATACAGGACAGAAGGATGTCACATCTCAGTCACTGACAGCTATGCCTCAAAAGACTGTGTACAAATGTGGCTTACTTCTTCTGGGGAATATTACAGGGCAAAGAAACAAAGGTTTATAAATCCAGATTTTGGTCTGAACTCCTATGCATATGAATGATGAAAGTATAAAATGAAGAATTTTCCCAGGAAATGCTCTCCCTTTACCTTACTGCTTACAAGCATTCTTTCTATTGGTAGGCTACATGGAAACTATTACTTTAAATAAAACCTGGAGTCTGTGGCATATGCCCTATACAAGAAAGTTGCATATTTTACTGTTTTCCTTATTTATATTTGGATCTAAACAGTCTTGACACCATTAATACTATAAAACATTGGATGATGCTTCTAATATAAAGAAAGAAAAGAATGCTTAAGATATTTAAGGATATAACCACCACATTTCTGTGTCTGTGAGCTTGAAATATAACAGATACTCAATATTTGATTTAATGAAACTAGTCATACTTATTTTTTATTTTCTATTTAAAGGATTTTTTACATAGAAAAAATACTATAACCAAAACTATCTTCAAAGAGTCATTCAACTAAGACCCAAAAGGAATAAACAATATTTTAATATTTTAAATGAATAAAATAAAGGCAGAGTTGGTTACTGGTTATAATCCCTGCTCAAAAAAATATATTTCTTTATAAAAATAGAAAGGTATTATTGAAACATTTAATAAAACTTGATGAAAATGAGATGGCAGTGTGTATAAATATCAACTTCCTGGTTTAGATGCATGAGTTGTGACATGTAAAATGTCCTTGTTTGTGGTAAGTTTATATTCAAGTACTCAAGGCTAAAGGGGAATTAGTCAACAACTTACTCTTAAATGGTGAGGGAAGAGGAAGCAATTTGTGCTGTATTGCAAACTGTCAGTCTGAGAACATTTGAAAAAATTTTAAATTATACTACTTTGAAAATACAAAGCCAATTAAGGGTCAAAGAATTAACACCCTGAGGAAATTAAACATGAAATTACATGATGTACAGAGAGACGGGGGCATTTCAGCATTCACATGATTCCAGGGACCTGAGAGAGCCAGTAGGCAGAATAAGAAAGAACAGACACTCTCCTCTGCAAGCCCATTTAGTTCACAACCCTGATTAACAAGAGGCTCTAGTTCTTTGACTTAAGCAGTCAACTTTCACTGATGGCAGCAGAGAACTGCTGCTGCTATCAGTGAAGTTACGTATTTTACATATATTCATCTAGGGTCAACTGAATCTGGCCTCAAATCTGTTTATATTTGTTACCATAAGCACAGTTTAACACTACATGCTAAATGATTAATTTCAAGTAACATTTTGAGGAGAAAAAAAAGTCTTAAAAATCTATAAGGATTCTGCATTTAATTGACTTTGAAAATATTTTTTTCCACTCTGAAGAAAAAAGAACTAGCTGGGTGCAGTGACACAAACCTATGATCCCAGCTACTCAGGGGCCTGAAACACAGAAGGATCACAAGTTCAAGGCCAGCCTGGGCAACTTATTAAGGCCCTGTCTCAAATATAAGATATTTTTTTAAATGGGCTAGGGATGTAGCTGCTCAGTGGTAAAGTACTCCGGGTTCAATCCCCAGCACCCCTCTCCCCCCACACACACAAATTAGAACTAAAAACTGTACACAATGCCTTCTGGGTATACTTTATGCAAAAAAAGACAAGGTGGAACTGTAATCAGTGACTCATATTCAAAGAAAAAACCTTGTTCTATATTTCAAAAGGAAATAGAGCCACACACAGTGGCCCTTGCCTGTAGTCTCAGCTAATTGGGAGACCAAGGCAAGAGGATCACTTGAACCCAGGAGTTCAGAGCCATCCTGAGCAACCTAGTGATACTCTCTCTCAAGAAGGAGTAAATAAATATACACTTATAAATTGCATTTTTATAGTATGCATTACTATTCTAAATCTCCTGGTTTAATTGACAATAATCCGCTCAATCAATGCAGAGAGAGCAGGGTCAAGCCCTCTGTCTTCCCAGTGAGCCTTGAACAAGTTGTTCATGACCCTTAGTCTCAGCCATATGCATGTATCCATGACAAGCAGATATACCTCAACTATATTTAAAGGGAGGAGCCTAGAGATCATGGTTTCCAAACTTCAGATTATAGGTAATCAAACTCCTCCTCTAACATGAGTTTATAAATTACATGCTATTTTTAAAATAGTTTTAGTTATAGAGGACATGATACCTTTATTTATCTTTTCTTTTTTAAAATATTTATTTTTTAATTGTAGTTGGACATAATAATACCTTTGTTTTACTTATTTATTTTAACATGGTGCTGAGGATTGAACCCAGAGCCCTGCACATGCTAGTCAAGTGCTCTACCACTGAGCTACAACCCCAGCCCCTAATATCTTCTTATGTGCTGCTAACGATCAAACCCAGGGACTCGCATGTGCTAGGCAAGCACTCTATCACTAAGCCACAATACCAACCATGTGCTGCTATTTCTAATGTGTATTACAAAACAAATATAAAAAATATAAATTTGAAAAGTAGTTTTTAGAATTAGGGGTATGCCAGGGATTGAATTCAGGGCCTCCTACACGCTAGGCAAGTTCTTCACCACTGAACTACATCCCTAGCCCCTTTTTTAATTTTATTTTGAGACAAGGTCTTGCTAAGTTTACCAGGCTGGCCTAGAATTTGTAATCCTCCTGTCTCAGCCTCCCAAGCAGCTGGGATTACAGGAATGTGCTCACTGAGTTGTTTTCAGAATTAAACAAAGTGCTAACCTTTTCTTCCTATATTCCTGTGGACTGTCCTGTGACTCTCACTGTCAAGACCACTGAACTAACATGGACCCATCCTGGGACTATATGATTCTAAGACAACAGCTAATGACAATCAGTAAAAATACCTAGAATTTATTATTCTCAGTTAAGAAATAAAGGGCCAAGATATCTGATGCCAAGTAAACCTACAGCAGAAACAATAACTGGGAGCTTCTGAAGATTCACGGAAATCACAATAAATTGTTTAGTACATGTGGGAAGCTACTAATTATAAGCACCAAGAGCTTCTTTTTCAAGAATCACATGACCACCTTTCAGTTACGTTATACAAGAAAGCCCTTTTGTGAGTAGGAATTAGACCTCTACTACTAAGTGCTTACCATGTCTCAGACACTATTCTCAGAATCCAAGTATTACATCACTTAATCCCCTACATAGCCTTTGGATCAAGCAAGTATGTAGTATCATCTCCACTTCACAGATGGAGAAACTGAGGCTTATGAAAGCTGGGCAAATTGTTCAAAGTCATTAGAGTCTGTAACCTAAAATTCCACTTATTTCAAAATATTTGCCTAGTATATATATTGAGGAGCATTTAAATACAATAAAAATAAATTACTGTACACAAGTACATAAGTTGCTTAAAATCAAATGCCTTTTTGAATTTTGAGAAGACATGCTTCAGAATTCTCATTCTATGTCCATATCCATTGTCCCTTGACAAAAGAATCTCTTAACACTCTTTACATCCCTGTACATGTAGAAAAACGTAGCATTTGCTCAGCATTTGCAGTAAGCTGACAGGGGCAACCAGTCTACCTGAGAGCTGAGAGAATCAGCATCTAACATACCAGCAGCCCAGACACCAGAACCACTAACTGGGAAAATCAGCTATGACAACAGCACATCATAATGGTAACAATTCTACAGTCACCATAAACACATACAATGTACACTGGGATGGCAAATAATATTAAAGGAAAAAAAAAGGAAAGGGAGAAACAGGAGCAGTTAGGCAGACAATCTGATTCCAAGGATCAAACTAAATATGTTTTTAAACTCACCTATTATAAAGTCTCTCATAAAAGCTCTTATTAGGTAATGTTACATGAATATTCGGTAACATTAGTTCCAACACATAGTGAGAATTGCTGATTGCTTTATCCTGAAACTCCACCATTTCTACAGGGTCTCCTGGCATCACCATCTAAAACATAATAATTTTACACACACATACAAAAAAGCAAATAACTATTTTACGTTTAAAATAGTTGTAACATCTTCTTAATGTATCATAGCATTTAGTATATGAGCAATAAACAAACATAACAGGGGAGAAGGAAAAACAAGACAATGTTGGAGTTAAAAACCTAATTTTAAAGAAAGTATTCAAAGTATTTTTTTGTTCTTTTAATAAATGAGTTCAGTGCAATGAACATTCCTCTTAGCACTGCCTTCAGTGTCCCAGAGATTTTGATACGTTGTATCAGTGTTCTCATTTACCTCTAAGAATTTTTTATCTCCTCCCTGATGTCTTCTGCTATCCATTGTTGATTCAATAATATATTATTTGGCCTCCAGGTATTAGAGTAGCTTCTATTATTTATTATCACTGATTTCTAATTTCATTCTATTATGATCTGATAGAACACAGGGGTAGTATCCTTTTTTTGTATTTGCTGAGAGTTGCTTTGTGGCGTAATACATGGTCTATTTTAGGGAAGGATCCATGTACTGCTGGAAAGGAATATTTGCTTGATAATAAATGAAATACTCTATATATGTCTATTACACCTAAATCATTTATTATATTAGCTCTATAGTTTGTTTAGTTTTTGCTTGGAAGATCTATCCGGTGGTGAGAAAAGTGTGTTAAAGTCACCCAGTATTATTGTGTTGTGTTTGTATTTGATTCTTGATACTGAGAAGGGTTTGTTTGATGTACAAAGATCCTCCATTGTTTAGGGCATAAATGTTTACTATTGTTATAGCTTGTTGATGTATGATTCCCTTAAGCAATATGAAATGTCCTTCCTTCTTTATTCCCTTCTAACTTTGATTTGAAGTCCACTTTATCTTATATAAAGATAGAAAACCCTGCTTATTTATAAAGTCCATGTGAGTGATGTATTTTTCCCCAACTTTTCATCTTTAATCTCTGGATGTCTTTTCCTAGGAGGTGAGTCTCTTAAAGACAGCATATTATTGAGTCCTTTTTTTAAAAAAAAAAAAATCCAATCCACCAGTCTATGTCTTTTGATTGGTGAGTTTAGGCCATTGACATTCAGAGTTATTATTGAGATATGATTTGTATTCCTGGTCATTTTGGAACATCATGCTAAGTGAAATAAGCCAATCACAAAAAAACAAAAAGAATGTTTTCTCTGATAAGCAGATGCTGATCCATGTGGGGTTTGGGGGTAGCAGGAAAGAATGAAGGAACTTTGGATTGTGCAGAGGGAAGTGAGGGGAGGGGTGGGGTTGTGGGGATGGGAAAGACGGTAGAATGAGATAGACATTACTGCCTTATATACATGGATGATTACACTACTGGTGTGACTCAGCAATATGAACAGACAACCAGAGGAATGAGAAGTTGTGCTCCATTTGTGAACAATGTTTCAAAATGCATTATACTATCATATACAACTAATTAGAACAACAACAAAAAAAAAAATAGAAAGGAGACCAGTAGAATAGAAGAAGGGGATCAGGGGGAGGGAGGGGAGAGAAAGGGGAGGTGCTGGGGAATAAAATTGATCAAATTATACTGTTTTATTGTGTACATGTATGAATATATTATGACAAATCCCACTGTTACATATAATTATAATGCACCAATAAAAAGAGGAAAAAAGAAAGCATTTTTTAAAAAAAATTAAAATCATTACTATATGACTAAAGATAATATTTTGATATTGCTTACACTGTTATTTTACCTGTTCATTTTCAAACATTACTCTACGAGAAGAAAAAGGAGATGGGGCTGGTCTCCTTAGGTCACAGACATCTTTCAGAGAATGAGCACCTCCTTCCTCCTCTTCCTGGTAGTGACCATTTTCTTCCTCCTCTTCAGCTGCTATTCTCTCCAAAATGGAATGCATGGCTGGTGGGTTTATTTTCAGTACCATTCTGATAGCAAAGATAACTTTTTTAGAAAATCAAGATTTAAGTATAAATAAGAAGACTTTAACTTTTGTGCATATTAATACTAAAAAGCTCTGATTAATGAAAGTATTAGACTTCTTTACAAAGTCTATGTCTAATGTAACCCACTTATGAATACATTATAAACTTAAATATACTGTAAATGTAGAACTGAAAAAAGCAAATAAACAAAGGCCATAAACATGACAGTCTAACCTTGAGGACAAAAAAGTCATTTCAAGTATCATTAACAGGAAGCAAATTTTACCTAAGAATTTGAGTTATTATCATGAAACCAAATCCTCTCATATATATTCTATTCTGCTAGAATGGAACACTTGCCTACCTAAGAAACTTCGTGTTATATAATTGGTTCAAATGGAAAAAAAAAAAAGTCGATTAGGAAATAGTTTCAAAACTGCAAGAACAAAGTTTTTCTACCTGGAATTTCAATAGTAAAGAACCTGTGTGACTATTGTATGTATCTACAAACTCTAAACCTCATGGCATTAATGCAGCCTTTGACTGCAAATGCCATTGAGCTTTGACTTCAGAGTATAATCCCATTCTTTTCCTCGTCTTCTACAGAACATCACTAGCACAAGCTTTTAGGGTCCTTTTTTAACACCATATCAAACCATTATTATGATGAGTCATGGAGTCCTCAAACAAAATAGCTGTGTTATTCTTTCTACCTTAAGTGATGTTTGGGTTTTTTTGTTTTGTTTTGGCCCTAAGAAGGTGTTGCTATTTGGTTCTAGTAAAATATCACAAACCATTTCTTAATTTATGGATATCCAAATGTAAATTGTGCTTCCAAATTACTTAACTGAAGCAGATTCAATTCTTCTGATGAAAACTTACATTCATTATCAGAAATGTATTGATAATGCCTGTCCTGAAAATAGGCTAATATATAGCAGGGAAGGTGAAAAAGGCAGGGATAAAAATGGCATAAAAAAAACAATTTACTCTGAACCCTCAAATATTCAATTTTCATAAAATAATGGATTGTTATTTCAAGTAAACGAAGTTCTTTGGAACATGATCAAGGCTCACTTTTCAGGGTAACTTAAGAAATGATTTCTCCTGCCTGAGAAATCTTGGAACCAGGAATGGTGGTGCACACCTAAAATCCCAGAGACTTAGAAGACGGAGGCAGGAGGATCTCATGTTCAAGGCCAGACTGGGTAAATTAGCAAGACCCTGCCTTAAAAAAGGGCTCGGTATATATACATTGTTGGTCACTAGCAAAAGATCTACAATCCACTATACTGTAAAATAAACCAATCTATCTTTCTAGAAGCAATGGTTCTCAAAGTACAGGTGCATATTTGAATCATCTGATGTAAATTTTAAAAACACAATGATGCTGGGCTCTATCCCAGAATCTCAGGTTAGAACCCAAGAATCAGTAGGATTTGGGTAAAAGTGACCCATATTTTAAAAACACTGCAAAAGCAACCACTGACTATAAAATTCATTTGACAACTACTCAAAAGATGCCTCAGGATTTCTCTTCTGTATCCTTGAAGTATTTTTAAGATGTAATTAAACTAGGCAACTAGAGACCGAAGAAACACCTGTACCTTCTATTTTGAATAATATCTAAAATATAAACTTCACAGAGTGGTGCTCAATATTTTCTTATTTATCCTTCTTGCTCTAGGTTCTCTCATTAACCATTTTTAGCAAAATTTATAGCCAAAATGTTGGTTAAAAGGACTATCATATTTTAATTTTGAATGGAAATACATTACACCTATACACTTCCTTACCGTGGCCAGTCAAAGTCATCTGACGATGCTGTATCTCCATCTACTCCACCAGATACATGGAAAAATTTAACAGATGGCTCCCCTTTCTCCTCCTGGAATGACCCTAATAAAATAAGACTGTTATACCAGAACGCATTCATTCTCAAGTGCTAAAAGACCTTTAATAATGCACTATTAACTTCTATAGCATTTATTCATTTGTTCCCACATTCATGTGACATACAACATATGGGACCGAGCAGATAAATTTTTGATGCTGTTTTGTATTCAGACTTAAATTCTTGGGTTCCAATATTTGATGTATAAGGTATATATCATGACACAGTAAATATATTAACATATATATTAACAGTAAATGTTATATATTGTATGTATTACTTATATGTAACTATAGTAAACTGTAAATACCACTTACTGGATGCTATTATTTCTTCATAAGTCTATATAACTAATCTACCACTACCAAATAAAAATAAGCATATTTCTTAAATGAAAATTTGTTCCAAGCACGGTAAGAATTACCTCTGTTCAAAATAACTCTATATTGTTATGCTTTTCCATTTGATTTTACACCTGAAAAATGGTTTTCTTTCAAAATAGTTTCTTGCCACTGAAGATAAGGGATGATTAGTAATAAGGGATGATTTAAAGGTCCTCTAGTGAGGCCTTAATGGATAAATGTTCATTTTAAATATCTCCACAGATACAGAAAACTAGTAAGAACAGGGAAGGAAACTTTTGCAGCCTCTTCCCAGCAAGCGGGGGTGGTTGTAGCAGAAGCAGCAGTCCAGGAACCACAGGCTCAAAGCCCTTCCAGAGCTCTTCATAGGCTGGTTCACTCTAAGTTTACATAGAGTCTATTCATTAGGTGACAAAAACAGAGCAATATAGAAAAACTCAAAACAGGCTTTACAAAGAAAAATTACTAGAAATTAGTTCATATAATGATTGAAAATTCAAGTTCTTATGTCAAGATTTGGGTTTGAATCTTAATCCTGCCATTTACTACATGATCTTGAAAGATACCTCCTTCTACATGCATAGATTCCCTCAACTACTAACTTATAAAAACTGGAAAAAATAAGCATATGGTGATTATGATGATTAAAGGAAACAAGATAATATGTATGAAGTGCTTAGCACAGTACCTAACCATACACTAACACTCTATATATGGGCTAATAAGTGGTAGGTGATTACAAAAAAGTAGGTTAAAGGCCACTTTTATTTTCCTCTGTAGAAAATCAGTACTTGAACAAAGTGATTAAATCATTATGCTTGGTCATTTTTTTTAATCTAACATATTACATATTTGCAAACAATTTTGATGGGAAAAGCTACTGCTACTGTATCTAACATAATATTCTTCAATTCTATTATATTTTGGAGCTCTCACATACTTTTATGATATAAAATTAGTAGCAGTTATTTGTATCTTGTCTCCTAAAGCACTTTCAATCTTACCAGCTAGTTCTCTAAAGGTAAGTTCCAATTTAATTTGTTCTGGGGTTGAGCCTCCTATAAACTCCGTCTTAAATTCTAGATCTGTGAATGCTAAATGAAGGATCTCCTTCTGAAGTGACTTCTTAAACCATGGTCCTCTTTCTTGATCTGACCGAAGATCAGGTATTGGGAAACGAACAGAAAGATTTAATGCTGGAGTGGCAACTTGAACTGATACTCGACAATTTGCAGGATTGTGTGAATCATCTAGAAATACTTCAGTGAAAGCCTTGTGCTAAAACACAAAACATCAAAAAAAATGCCAAAATATTAAATTAAGTAAATTACATTAGCATTCAACATTTCAATATGTACAATAACTAATTCCCCAGTGTAATGAATTAGCATTCAAATCAAATTCACTACCATAGTAATTTAGTATAATGAAATTTTATAATGTAACAATTACTGGCAAAAGTTATAACTACTGGCAACAGTTACACCCTGATATAAAAATAAATCAATCAAAATAAAAACTGAACTAAAGACAAGACAAAGACACAATAGGTACATATATATATATTTTATTATAAATTAAAAATTAAAAAATGTGTAAATTAGCTTGTCAACAAATCAAATGTAGTTAAAAATCATTATAGTATCCAACATTCAATCTGAAGGATTTACCTACCAACATATTACTTTAAAAATTCAATGTGAGGAGCTGGGGATATAGCCGAGTTGGTAGAATGCTTGCCTAGCATGTACAAGACCCTGGATTCAATCCCCAGCACCACCACCACCCCCCCAAAAAAAAATTCAGTATGAACACAGATGAATTATGCCAAACACAAGACCAGTCTCTGACTCATCTTTGTATTTCTAGAACTAAGTCCAGAGACTAGCACATACTAGGTTTATAACACAGATGAATTATGCCAAACACAAGACCAGTCTCTGACTCATCTTTGTATTTCTAGAACTAAGTCCAGAGACTAGCACATACTAGGTTCTAAATAAATATCCACTAAATGACTCACCCTGAGTTCCTATACAATCTAAGAGTATGATCCCATGAAATGGCTACTGGAAAACAAACAGATGTACCACATGCCCCAAACCATGAAACAAAAGGGTCAAAGAATGTGCAATTCACATAAAGGTCCACTTCTAACTTTTCTCTAAAATGTATTAAAAGCAATAAATGTTTAGTCCACTGTAGGTGGAACAGTCCACTATTTCTTGAATCAGTCTCTAAAGTCTTAAGACTAGAAACTTCCCTTCTTATGTTACACATTGATTTTTAACAAACCTACACTTTCTCTCTCCTATTTGACTTTCTCATACTATCTCTCACTCCAAGGCAAAAGTAATCCAAGATATTAAACCATCATCCCAATACATCTATGAGTAACAGAAAATATAGAGACTAGTCCAAAGAACTTAAAATAACTAGCAACTGGTGACAATAAAAAATGATTCAATGTGAATACTCACCACTAAGGAAAAATAAATAGGAAAATAGAATATTTTGTCCATTTTCTTTTTAATTACAGTTGTCTATGTTGGTCCTAGTCCTACAGCACCCAAATTCCAAATAGATTTCTTACAAATCTGACTTCCTTGATTTGCTTATGAAAGAATCTATACACCAGATCTAAGGAATATAATGTGATACTCAAGAGATTATTTTCCCAGTTTCAAAAGTATATTCTATATTACTTGGGCTACACTTTTTAGATGTTTGTTTAATGTGTGAACAGGTAAAACTTTGTAATGTTACAAGCACAGTTTATGAAATTCATAAATTCAGGAAAGGAAATCTAAGTCCTACAACACAATCAAATGCTATCAAATGCCATAACTTCTATTATTTTCTTTTTTTTTTTTTTTTTTTTTGGTATTAGTGATTGAATCTAAGTGCCCTACCACTGTGCTATATTCCCAGGAATCCTAACCCCCACCCTTTGCTTTTAAGACAGGATCTCACTAAATTGCCAAAGCTGCCTCAAACTTGTGACCCCTCAGCCTCCAAAGTAACCAAGATTACAAGAATACACCTCGACACCTGGATTCTATTTATTCTTTTTCCTGAGCATCAACTTATACTGACACTTTAACATATGCTATGTAATCTACAGAGAATGCTTAGCTCAGAAATTATCCCAATAAGCCAATTAGCTAATTAAATTATGATTATTTACAACATTTTGAATACTTACCAGACTGATATGCTTATTATATGAAGTATACATGTGAGAGGCCATCATCTCTACTGTAGTAAGTTTCTGTGGTTGAAGCAAGGAATTTAACCGGTCCACAATACTTATATCCAGTTCACAACATACTGGATTTAATTTAATTTGTAAGTCCGCCTTCTGAGGAACTGAACTAAGTCTTGCTTGATTGCCCTTAAAAGGGGGGAGGAAGGAGCATTAACATAATCACTAATAATACTTAAAGATTAGGTTAAGACCTCAAAATTGTGAGAAAATATATACCCCCAAATTTTACATGCAGCACTTAAACAAAAATTTCTTACCTGGGGTCCTCTATTCTCAGAATGCTTATAATGAAGTTGAAGACACACAGGGGGGTGGGCATCAGTTCCTTCTTTAGAATGAAATGTTAAAAGCTTAAAAACAAAGAAGATAAATTAAATATTAGATGTTAAGCTATAATTTATCACAGGAATTCAGAGGTGCCAATATACTAGTGGGAAGAGCTATCTGAAGTCAGAAATGCTGGCCTTACTTTTCACTTTTATCACTCACTAGCAATGTAAATCTTAGTCCAGTTAGTTAAATTTTCTTGTTTTGAGACAGGGTCTTGCTAAGTCTCTGAAGGTCTCACTAAATTGCCTACAGCAGCCCATGACTTGCATTGCTGCTTCAATCTCCTGAATTTCAAGACTACTGGCCTGCACCACCACTCGGGCTTCAGTAAGTTAACTGAGACAGTGTCTTATTTGCATAATGCATATGAGAATTCAAATGAATTAATACTCAAGAAAGAGCTCTGAAAATAAACATATAAGGGCAAAATAACAGCAATAAATATTATTTTTGCCAACATACTTAGATGTTTGAAAAAATCAGATTAATGGTAAAAGAACACAAAACATTATGCTCAACTTGAATAGTACATTTTGGTATTTGTTCAATAAAAAAGTCTTCTGAAATGAAGAATGATTGAAAGTGAGTGAATTCCTCTATGCATTCCTGTTCATTTTTTGAGAAAACTATTTATGATCATACAATTCCTTAAAAGCAAGACAGATTTAAAGTGTAATCCAAAGAAAGTGACCATCATTTACCTCTGTGTAGTGAGGAGGAACAGAATGACAGTCGGTTGGAAATAGACACTCCAAAAGCTCCATTTGTCCAATGGATGTATCAGTACTAAAATACCGGGAAGCTGATCTTTGTCTTTGTTCATAGGCTACTTTGATGCCAGTACCTATAAATCTATTATTAAAAAGATGTAGCATTTAAAGGCCTCTATATACTTCTAGTTTAAATGACATATCACAAGTAGTCAGGGAACCATAAACAAATGTTAATAACAGACTAATTACCCACTTATTCTGACAAATTCAAGTTAACAATAGTAATACTCCTAAGATTTATTAACCAAGTCTGCTTTCAATTTCCCATTCCCTGACAAAAAAATAAATTTAACTGACGGAAAATCATCCAGGGTATATTCATTTCCCAACATTGCCCTTCCTTCTCTATACATTTAAAATTTACACTGCAATGGATAAAATCTTTCAGATCTAAAAAATACATGAAATAGTCTCTGAAAATTATCTAGAAGCATCATGAAATATTTTAAAACTTCAGTTGCTGGGGCTCAAATGAAGCCTATCTCTAATTTCTGTGGGTTCTGCTATATTTTCTGATATTTGAAAACGTGTCAAAATTAGAGAAAAAGCATCTCTACATCTCTATAAATACTATGGTCCTAATTTGTAGGTTATCTTTAGGTAGGGATCAAAACTACTTTACATATTAACTTTAAAACAGTTATGTTAAAATAAAACTCAAAGGTATTTTTCTAAAAAATTAATTATATTTGCCTAAACTGTTTATTAAAATAATATCACTCAGGTCATAATCAGTATTTGCATTTTAATAATACTAACAAATTCAATTCATCTATTAGGACTCAATTTATAAAGGATCAGTGTCAATTTGGACAGTTTGGGTTTGTTTTGTTTTTTAAGGTAAGGATGGAAATGTAGCACCCAAGTTAAGGACCAACCCTCATACAACTTCCCATTCCTGGCCAGTGAACATGCAGCATTTTAGAATGCCTCCCTCATTAGTTCTCTCATTACCATCAGCTGTTAATGCCAATGACAATAAGAAATGTTTTAATGATTGTAATACAGTCAACAGGGATGATGGCAAAATACGAGCAAAGAAATTTGGAACTACAGAGATGTTTTAGCAAATTCCAGATTATCTCCATAGTTCTGCATGCCACACATCCTGAATGAAAAATTCTGTTCATAAACATCTTCATAGCATTGCAAGGAAAGTACTCATTCTACTCTTTTACAAATAAATTTTTAAAACAAATACAAATAGCTGGATATGAAAGTCCACACTTGGTTCTTACTCAAGGATCATTAATAAACATGACAAAGTTTACCTGAGGTGATCATGTGAGCAAGCTTCTGCAAATACTGTTCGGAAAGACTTAAAATCATCAGATGAAAATCTTGCTGGATCAATCTTTTCTATACAAGTAAAGAAAGCTATAGCCATAGGTGTCAATGGGTTGAGGCTCAATGACGTTTCAGGTGGAGATAAAGGATCAATGTGAAGCACAGAGACTGAAAAAGTTCCAACAGCTAGTCTAAAAATAAGCTCAGGCCTGGATTCATCCATTGAAACAGATCTAGATGGGAGAGCTGAAATACATGTGTTAAAATTATACACATAAATTTTAATACTTAAATTCACATATCAAAACTATAAAACATTTACTCATGTATTAGGTTTAAAAAACAGCTGACCATACAATAGCTAGAATGACATTAAATAATTAAGGTACAATAAACTGCTAACTTCCTATGTCTTACATCTAGTATACTTGATATTTGAAGTAGAAAAGAGTCCATTAAAATAGTAAATGTATGAAAAATGCTTTTTCATTATTGAAAGTATACTGGAAAAATCAAAATTAATCAAAAGTTGCTAACCAAATTTTCTTTTGAGGTTTGTGTTTATTTCAATTAAATTTTGCAGAATAAGGGTAGAGATGTACAGGTCAGTGATAGAGCACTGGACTACCATGCATGGGACCCTAACCTTCATCTCCAGCACCACAAAAAATTTTGATATTTGCAGAGTAAAAACTTGAGGTTTTATTTCAAGGAATATATAAACAGTGAAAGAAAAATTAGGAGGCTGGCGCCATGGCTCAATGGTAGAGTGTTTGCCTGGCATTATGAGGCCCTGGGTTAGATCCTTGACATCAAAAATAAATATATAATAATCAGATGTTGAGGATCCTAAACTTTAATAATAATATGAAACTTACGTGATACTTTTCACTAACAATATCCAAGTATTT